ACCCCGTTCTATTGGGTTGATGAGCAGGCGTTCCTGTCCCATGCAGACCAAAGCGACCCACTACCCCAGACCCCAACCACACTGCCAGCTCCCATTACTAGCCTCCAGCCCCGGGCAGCCAACAGAGGTGTGATAAGACCGCTAGCTAGTCTCCCTCATTTATTTTCTGAAAGAAGCTAGGGACTCATTAAGATCTGGAGGCTGTGAGTGAACCGTACCCCCCTAACTGTCTGATGCCTGCTTCCCCTGAACCCTGTAAGCAACCCTGCTGTCCAATTGTTCACACCATGTATTTTTCTTTTCAGGATTTATTGGCAAGATCCGTCTCCAGATTCCGTTTTACCGACCTCACAGTGAGCCGTGGGTCATCTCCATGTCCCAACTCAACCTGATCATTGGCCTTGCCCAGCTGCAGGAGTATGATGCTGAGGAGGAGAGACGGAATGAAATGGAGCGCAAAAAACATCTCCTCACAATTCTTGAAGAGAAATTCAAGGTAGGTGACTAACCCAACCAAAAAACGCCTTTCTCCATCACAGCCTTGATTGGGCTGAAGGAGGAGGAAGTGATGTCACCTAAAAGGAAGCTGCATTGACGGTTACAAACAGCAAAATGAAATAAAGTAATTCAACTAAATTATCCCCAAAACAAATATTGTTTTAAAGTCTCGTTCTGGAGTATTTCACTTATTCGATTGCACCATCTAGTGGCCGACAAGCATATCACACAACTAATCTCTGGAACCGTTTATTTAAGATGGCAACTTAACGTTTCTGTTTATAAACGTGCTTCTGGAGCGACAAACGGCTAAAACACGCTGTTTTACGAGTATTATTCTCATGTCATGTTGTGTTCTCATATATTTACGTTTTAGAGACTTACTTGTCCATGAAAAGTTCATCAACTCTGAATCAGCCGAGGTATTCCTTAAATTAGAAGCATGTAAGCGGTAGTCTAACGGTATTGGTTAGTTCTGGTCGGCGCTCAGTTTCCTTTTTCACGGAGCTCTACAGGGCAGGGGGCGTGGTTAGCAAACAAAAAAAAAGCCGTACATGATACCACAGTACATGATAAGATGATCACTTGTACGATTTCTCATTTTGGAAAGAGGAAAACTCCGGAAAGCTACTTTAAAGCATCATTTGCAAAATAAGATAACAGTTATGGAAACAATTGAGAAGGGATTTTTGGTGGAGTGGAAAGTATTTTTTTTCCATGCTACACGTACCTGTGCACCACCTATTATGTAGTATGTGCTATGTGCAGAGTAATGCTGCATTGCTGATGGTAATGAACGCTGGACTAAGGAAGTGTCGCATGTGTGTCCTCCAGAGGGAGTGTGAACAAAGAGGAGAGTCTTACTGGTATTCTGTCACAGCATCACTTGTCACCAGGATCGTAGAGAATATTGAGGTAGGTACTTCTACATCATCTCTGGGGTCTGCTCATGTTTCCCGTACCACTTCATGAACGTCAGTTTGTAATTATCATCCTTCGTGCTTCACATACAGCCGGGCTGTTTGTCTGTCTGTCTATGTATGTCGGTCTATATCTGTCCGTCTATATCTGTCCGTCTATATCTGTCTGTCTATATCTGTCTGTCTATATCTGTCTGTCTATATCCGTCTGTCTATATCTGTCCGTCTATATCTGTCCGTCTATATCTGTCTGTCTATATCTGTCTGTCTATATCTGTCTGTCTATATCTGTCTGTCTATATCTGTCTGTCTATATCTGTCTGTCTATATCTGTCTGTCTATCTAAATCTATGTCTGTCTATATCTGTCTGTCTGTATCTGTCTGTCTGTCTATCTAAATCTATATCTGTCTGTCTGTCTATCTAAATCTATGTCTGTCTATATCTGTCTATATCTGCCTGTCTGTCTGTCTGTATTTGTCTATATCTGTCTGTCTGTTTATCTGTCTGTCTATATCTGTCTGTCTGTCTGTCTATCTAAATCTATATCTGTCTATATCTGCCTGTCTGTCTGTCTGTATTTGTCTATATCTGTCTGTCTGTTTATCTGTCTGTCTATATCTGTCTGTCTGTCTATCTAAATCTATGTCTGTCTATATCTGTCTATATCTGCCTGTCTGTCTGTCTGTATTTGTCTATATCTGTCTGTCTGTTTATCTGTCTGTCTATATCTGTCTGTCTGTCTATCTAAATCTATATCTGTCTGTCTGTCTATCTAAATCTATGTCTGTCTATATCTGTCTATATCTGCCTGTCTGTCTGTCTGTATTTGTCTATATCTGTCTGTCTGTTTATCTGTCTGTCTATATCTGTCTGTCTGTCTGTCTATCTAAATCTATGTCTGTCTATATCTGTCTATATCTGCCTGTCTGTCTGTCTGTATTTGTCTATATCTGTCTGTCTGTTTATCTGTCTGTCTATATCTGTCTGTCTGTATCTAAATCTATGTCTGTCTATATCTGTCTATATCTGCCTGTCTGTCTGTATTTGTCTGTATCTGTCTGTCTGTCTATCTAAATCTATATCTGTCTGTCTGTCTATCTAAATCTATATCTGTCTGTCTGTCTATCTAAATCTATATCTGTCTGTCTGTCTATCTAAATCTATATCTGTCTGTCTGTCTATCTAAATCTATGTCTGTCTATATCTGTCTATATCTGCCTGTCTGTCTGTCTGTATTTGTCTATATCTGTCTGTCTGTTTATCTGTCTGTCTATATCTGTCTGTCTGTCTGTCTATCTAAATCTATGTCTGTCTATATCTGTCTATATCTGCCTGTCTGTCTGTCTGTATTTGTCTATATCTGTCTGTCTGTTTATCTGTCTGTCTATATCTGTCTGTCTGTCTATCTAAATCTATGTCTGTCTATATCTGTCTATATCTGCCTGTCTGTCTGTCTGTATTTGTCTATATCTGTCTGTCTGTTTATCTGTCTGTCTATATCTGTCTGTCTGTCTATCTAAATCTATATCTGTCTGTCTGTCTATCTAAATCTATGTCTGTCTATATCTGTCTATATCTGCCTGTCTGTCTGTCTGTATTTGTCTATATCTGTCTGTCTGTTTATCTGTCTGTCTATATCTGTCTGTCTGTCTGTCTATCTAAATCTATGTCTGTCTATATCTGTCTGTCTGTCTATCTAAATCTATGTCTGTCTATATCTGTCTATATCTGCCTGTCTGTCTGTCTGTATTTGTCTATATCTGTCTGTCTGTTTATCTGTCTGTCTATATCTGTCTGTCTGTCTGTCTATCTAAATCTATGTCTGTCTATATCTGTCTATATCTGCCTGTCTGTCTGTCTGTATTTGTCTATATCTGTCTGTCTGTTTATCTGTCTGTCTATATCTGTCTGTCTGTCTATCTAAATCTATGTCTGTCTATATCTGTCTATATCTGCCTGTCTGTCTGTCTGTATTTGTCTATATCTGTCTGTCTGTTTATCTGTCTGTCTATATCTGTCTGTCTGTCTATCTAAATCTATATCTGTCTGTCTGTCTATCTAAATCTATGTCTGTCTATATCTGTCTATATCTGCCTGTCTGTCTGTCTGTATTTGTCTATATCTGTCTGTCTGTTTATCTGTCTGTCTATATCTGTCTGTCTGTCTGTCTATCTAAATCTATATCTGTCTATATCTGCCTGTCTGTCTGTCTGTATTTGTCTATATCTGTCTGTCTGTTTATCTGTCTGTCTATATCTGTCTGTCTGTCTATCTAAATCTATGTCTGTCTATATCTGTCTATATCTGCCTGTCTGTCTGTCTGTATTTGTCTGTATCTGTCTGTCTGTCTATCTAAATCTATATCTGTCTGTCTGTCTATCTAAATCTATATCTGTCTGTCTGTCTATCTAAATCTATATCTGTCTGTCTGTCTATCTAAATCTATGTCTGTCTATATCTGTCTATATCTGCCTGTCTGTCTGTATTTGTCTATATCTGTCTGTCTGTTTATCTGTCTGTCTATATCTGTCTGTCTGTCTGTCTATCTAAATCTATGTCTGTCTATATCTGTCTATATCTGCCTGTCTGTCTGTCTGTATTTGTCTATATCTGTCTGTCTGTTTATCTGTCTGTCTATATCTGTCTGTCTGTCTATCTAAATCTATGTCTGTCTATATCTGTCTATATCTGCCTGTCTGTCTGTCTGTATTTGTCTATATCTGTCTGTCTGTTTATCTGTCTGTATCTGTCTGTCTGTCTATCTAAATCTATATCTGTCTGTCTGTCTATCTAAATCTATGTCTGTCTATATCTGTCTATATCTGCCTGTCTGTCTGTCTGTATTTGTCTGTCTGTCTATCTAAATCTTATGTCTGTCTATATCTGTCTATATCTGCCTGTCTGTCTGTCTGTATTTGTCTATATCTGTCTGTCTGTCTATCTAAATCTATATCTGTCTGTCTGTCTATCTAAATCTATATCTGTCTGTCTGTCTATCTAAATCTATATCTGTCTGTCTATATCTGTATCTGTCTGTCTGTCTATCTAAATCTATATCTGTCTGTCTGTCTATCTAAATCTATATCTGTCTGTCTGTCTATCTAAATCTATATCTGTCTGTCTGTCTATCTAAATCTATATCTGCCTGTCTGTCTGTCTGTATTTGTCTGTATCTGTCTGTCTGTCTATCTAAATCTATATCTGTCTGTCTGTCTATCTAAATCTATATCTGTCTGTCTGTCTATCTAAATCTATATCTGTCTATATCTGTCTATATCTGCCTGTCTGTCTGTATTTGTCTATATCTGTCTGTTTATCTGTCTGTCTATATCTGTCTGTCTGTCTGTCTATCTAAATCTATGTCTGTCTATATCTGTCTATATCTGCCTGTCTGTCTGTCTGTATTTGTCTATATCTGTCTGTCTGTTTATCTGTCTGTCTATATCTGTCTGTCTGTCTATCTAAATCTATGTCTGTCTATATCTGTCTATATCTGCCTGTCTGTCTGTCTGTATTTGTCTATATCTGTCTGTCTGTTTATCTGTCTGTATCTGTCTGTCTGTCTATCTAAATCTATATCTGTCTGTCTGTCTATCTAAATCTATGTCTGTCTATATCTGTCTATATCTGCCTGTCTGTCTGTCTGTATTTGTCTGTCTGTCTATCTAAATCTTATGTCTGTCTATATCTGTCTATATCTGCCTGTCTGTCTGTCTGTATTTGTCTATATCTGTCTGTCTGTCTATCTAAATCTATATCTGTCTGTCTGTCTATCTAAATCTATATCTGTCTGTCTATATCTGTATCTGTCTGTCTGTCTATCTAAATCTATATCTGTCTGTCTGTCTATCTAAATCTATATCTGTCTGTCTGTCTATCTAAATCTATATCTGTCTGTCTGTCTATCTAAATCTATATCTGTCTGTCTATATCTGTATCTGTCTGTCTGCCTACCTATGAGAGAAAAGAAAATAAGGAATCATGGCTGAAAACACAGAAAGAAATGATGTCAATAATTAGAACCATCGTATTAGGACTGTAACATTAACCCTTTAAGCGCCAAAGTCGTAATATTGCGTTTAACAAATATAATCCCTCATAAAGTTGTTACTTTATACCAGAAGACAGTGGAGACGTGTCAATCTGAGTTACACTTTTGGGTGTTTCTCTTCCCGACTGACGAGTGGAGCACACAGACGGCCAATGTTAATAAATATTACAGATCTTTGCCCGGTAATGGCTGACTGTAATTTTCACCCTCTGAAAAAGGAGGTGGCGTTTCTGTGTGCCTTATGAGAGTAAACACGCTTCACACACGTGATCCAAAGCTTGTTTTCCTGTGTTCAGGACATGATGGGTGAGGAAAGGGTGGTACAACACTGCTAACAGTGACAGACATATTGGGAATGTAGAGAAGACACAACAGCAGGGCAGACGCGGTCGATGTGAAACTGACAGTAAAATTGATATGAATGTTCCAGCCATCATAATAAAACTGAATTTGTAAAAGGGGAAAACTTGACTTTTGAAATCACAAAGTACATTTTATGAAGCAAAGAGCAAGTTGCCACATCTGGTAGCCCACTGATCTGTCAGATCTCGCCACTGCACCCAGAAGAATATCTTTGTTTTAAAGCACAGTTAAACATTGTAGGAAAAGGGTTTTAACGTGCTGCTTCTATGTAACTGTTGGTGTGAGACTACTGAGGTAGCTGTTCCCACTGTGTACAGGTAATGACTGACATGATTTCTCTGCTTTTTGTGCAGCTGAAGATCCAAGATGTGCATCTTCGATTTGAGGATGACATTTCTAATTCAGAGAAGCCATTTTCTTTTGGAGTTTGCATCGACAATGTATCTGCTCAGAATCCCTCCAAAGAGTCTGTAAGTGCTATGGCTTTTAAAATATTGGATTATTATCTTAAGTATCACATGCTAAAGCTTTTAGACTGATTTTATTTTGTAAAGTGTTTTGTCATTTCATGTCTGAAAGCATCAGTCTGGTGAATTTAGAAAAAGAAGCGGATTTACACCTGTAAGAATGTGTAAATTCATGGTATTGTAGTATTAATATAGTATTAATATAGTGTAATGCACACCCCCAAACTGGATTGGGAGAGGAAGCCTGTGGATAATCTGAAAGCCAGGTACCAACGTGTGAGCCATGCATCGGTGTCCTTCGTTTGGTGGAGCCATTGCAGCAGCGCGTGGTCCAAGCTAGGTGTGAAGGGCCGACCCAGGAGCAGACGAACATGAAACGCACACGCTTTGTGGCCAAATTAGCCCCTTTGAATCCAAAATGGGTCACCAATGTGATTTGTGGAGATTAGATGAGAAAATGTTTTTGTGGGAGTTAGGTATGGATTGATGGCGAGGGCTTCACAGGTAAACTAGTTCCACTACTAAACAGTGTCTTTTTAAAGACAACAACAGAAAATAAATCAACTGGAACCGGGGGAACAACTTGGGGCTCTTCCCTGCTTGTATGACCCAATCCCAAACCAAGTTGTGGTGGAATATCTTTGAGAGACTTATTAAAACGATGAGAAAGAGTCCATGGTTCAGTCCAAAGGGTTCCATTTCAGTATTGCAATATCAAAATGAGGAGACTGTCACAGAGGCTCTTCCCAAAGCACGCGCACACACACACACACACACACACACACGCACGCACGCACACTTCTATTTATCTGCCTTTAACCCCCACCCCCACGGGAGAGAACAAAAGGAAGCCTAAAGTCTTATCTCAGAGAGAATGGTAGGGGTCTAAACCAGGGGTCGGCAACCTGTTCCCATCAAAGAGCCATTATTACCCGTTTCCCACAGTAAAGAAAACACCGCAGCAGCCACGGCGTTGTGGGCGGGGCCTACTCTCAGACAGCAGAGAGCTGCTTTAACCAATCACAACAGGTGACAGCAGCCAGTACCGGTCGCTCGTGTACGTCAAAGTTATCTTTCATAAGACGATAATCAATAAAATGATTTATATAAAGTGGATCCAGAAGTTGTAGCCCGTCTCTGCTACAATATTTAGATATTTTTCACCCTGTTGGTGGTTTTACTGAGCAGGTGCCACTTTTGTCATACGTTTCTTTTTAAAACATGTTTAGACTGTTCAGAATACAAATCCAGGCTCTGTCACGTTTGATTGTTGTAATTAAACTTTGTAGGTGGGGAAGGTCAGAAAAGGATCCGATCATTTTGTTTTTCCCTCATTTACAGAGACGGAGATAACGGCGCAGTGCGCCTGGCTCTGGTGGTAATCAAGTTAAATTTTATCTCTTTGCAACAATTTTCACAAGAAAACAGAACAGTTAAAAGCAGGGCTTGTGTTGTGTTGACCGGACAGTTCCCGTATTTGGCCGTTTATTTTGACGGAGAAAGAATAGAAAGAATTACCCCGACGCATGCAGACGAACTGACACTTTATTCTACGCACATCGCAGATGTAGCTAAATCACTCGAGAAAAGATTCCCATCTGAACATCTGAGCTGGACACTGCTCAGCGCAGCTCTCTGTCAGCGTGTACTACATAAGGTCCACAGCGAGCTGAAGATGTGGAGAGGGGCTTGGAGCGCGTCGCAGAACCAGAGCGCATGCGGGAAGATTCCTCCCACTGAAGCGAGTGTTTTCCAAACCCGGTCTCTCAGAGAGACTTGTCACTTAGAAAATGCTCCCTGATGATGAAACTTTGGCTGAATAGCGCTTGTTCCTGTCTCCAATGTGGCGACACATCCAGGAGCCGTCTGAGGAGAATCCCAGAATCTCACATTGTCTTCAGCTCAGAAAGCGCCTATGATTACGTACAAGCGTGACGCGTCAACCCGGTCTCACAGTAAGACCGGGTTGGACCTGTTCAGGTTTACGCAGTCAATCTTTACATTTAGAATTAGCACACAGATGTAAAATTAATGCAGTAAAATATAAAGCATTTTATTTAAATATCCATTCATTATTTTACAAGCACAGAGAGCCGCATCAGATGGATGGAAGAGCCGCGGGTTGCCGACCCCTGGTATAGAGCATTGACACACACACACACACACACACACACACACACACACACACACACACACATATATATATATATATATGGACAATGGGTTTCCATAGACTCCAATAATGAGTTTTTGAGGTAAAATGGGAGGTGGCCACCACCGCCATTTTGACCGTGTCACAGGTTCCGTCAAGCCCAGACAATTCCACAAAAGGGAAGAGAGGTGGGGCTGTAAGGCTGGGATCAAATGACGACACCCGTCGAATTGAAGCTAATGTAGCTACAAGCTAACCTGAAGCTACCCCAAAGCTAACGCGGAGGTGTGAGCTAAGCTAATGGAGGTAGCAACCTAGCTACAACCAGAGTTAACTGTGCACAACACCAGAGCTTCTGAGTCAGAGATACGCCGGGCTGACCGCTGGGTAAAACCGGGTGGAACACAGAGGTCTCCCGAGAGCTCCACAAGCCGATAGTGGGAACCCAGCTCCACCAACATGTTATATTTCAACCCATTTTCTTAAGTGCAGCATTATGTTACATGTACTGGGTTTTACCCTATTACATTTAAATTTCATGGTTAAACAGTACATGTTAAAATCTAAGCTCAGCTCGGCAGTGACCTAAAATACATAAATATAATTTTACTTACCGAAAAACATGAAGTGGAGACTCCTTGGACGCTCTATTAGTGCAATTAATACCACAGCAAGTCATTTTGTCCAACAATTGCACAAAAATATCCAAAAAGAACGCACAAACGTTACAACTAATGGTCTAAGTTGAGAGACTAAAAATCCCGGAACAGTTTCCAGGCCAGACCGAGGCTCTACTGAGGCCTTTCCATGGAGCTAGCTCTGTGGTCACGTGGGTCTGATGCTCATTAATTATACAGAATTTTAGGCTTTTAATACACTTAAACAGAAGAGTGAGAAAAACATTCACCCCCCTCAGAGTTGTCATGAGTGTAAACTAGATCATTTAAACCAAAAACATGTTCTGGTACCAGTAGGGCTGGGCGATATGGCAAAAATAGAATATCACGATTTTTCCAATATTTTATCAGGATTTCGATTTTATCACGATTTTTTATCCATGAATAGCATAACTTCAATTGCGTATTAAAGAAGAGAAACATTGAATAAATAAACATTTATTCATATTAGGGATAATCAGCACAGTGCTAACACACTTATATTTTAAACTCACACCAGAGATGATAAAAGCCCTGAGAGAAACAATTACAAAAATCAGTTTTTCTCATTTTTCAAGTAACTTAACATAAATTAAAATCGTAAACATATTTAAAGTGCAAACATGTCAATTGCAAACGTATTGTACAAACATTAACATGTTCAAAATACTATGTAGCTCCCAGTTGCTCATGTAGTGGATAGTTAAGCTCAAATACGGCTCTGATGTGCGGCTGGACCAGAGATCGCTTGTGGTAGCAAAAAACTGCGCATTCTGAATATTTTCTGCAACTCTCACTTTGCATTGAGCGTACATGCGTGGAATGGCGATGTTCGGAAAATACTTGCGGCTGGAAAACTCGTAGCGCGGATCCAATGTTTTTATCATGTTCTTAAATCCCGCTCCTACTGTTCACACGGGACACAAATCTTTAACCAAGTGGTACGTCACTGCATCTGTCACGCTGCTCCATCGTCTGCTGTCTCTGTCGTAGGGAGTGAGTTTTGTGTGTTTCTGTTAGCGTTTGCTGCCTGGAAGAAGCACTAGCCGCTGCAGCTTTTTAGCTTTAGCTGCCAGCTGGCTCTCATTGTATTGTTTGGGATGCCTTCTTTTTAAGTGATTAAACAAGTTTGTGGTGTTGCCATCACTTGCGTTGACGCTCTCCTTGTAAATGACGTGTCACTGCTCTTTGTCATCTGGTGAAAAACCAAACCAGTTCCATATAACGGACGAGGCGTTCCTCTTCGGAACAAAAACCTCGCTGTCGCTCTCAGCCGCGGCCGAAGCCATGTTTGTTCACACACAGGTGAAAACAAGCGGGGCACTAATATATTACTATGACTCACTCTGATTGGTTAAGGGTCAAACAAAGGCGTGTCATTCGCAGGAGGTAAGTTCCCTTTTCATTCAGAGGCAGAAATTCAACAGCAGAGCTGTGAATCGTGATAAAAAGGTCTCTCAACAATGACAGACCGTCAGATGTGTAGGTCGTGAAACGGTCTAAAATCGTCATATCGCCCAGCCCTAGGCACCAGGCTGTAAACATGTTTATTTCTGCTGTGAAATTGGTATTTTTAACATGGGAGTCAATGAGGATTTGCTCGCTTCTGACACCAGCCCCTAGTGGATGAGGGTGGAACTGCAATTTATTTCATTTCCGCATTGGCCTCAATTTCAGACCCACATTGTGGGGACTTGGTCTAGAGCCAAAGGTTGAGGGCTAGGCTTCACAGAGGGGTGTGTAAACAATGCTTCTCCTGCTCTGAAGCTGTAGCTAGACAGAAAACCTTTATGGCTGTCATAAACCCAACTTCTCTGGCCCCACTGTAAGTTTGTAAGGGTCAGCTAAATAAGAGAAATCAAATGTATCTATTATATTTCTCCCTTTTGACTATTCATTAACCACTAAGAAAACTTTGACTAACTATAAATAATTTAAGACAAATACACATGCACACAATAAAATGGAAAAGACATACATGCATGGGCAGGGCCCTGACAAATCACCATGACGGTACAACATCAGAAAACCCAGTAAGGTTCAGCCTAAGCCCTGAAAAAGACACGTAAATACATAGTCATCACACAAGTCTCATTTTGCATTGGGTTGATGTTCATAGCTGCAGCTATCGATTAATTCAGTAATCCATTTGACTCAGTAATCGGATAATCCTTAATGTTTCCTTGAAAATGTGGTAAAAATGTAAACAGAGCAGTACTAGTTGTGTAAAACAAGTCAACGAGTATATTTATACAGCAATTTTTATTTTATTCAGTTCCTTTTCATTTGCCATCTTTAACTCAGCAGCGTGTTCAGCTGAGAACATGCTAGCTGGATTTGCCTGGGCCAGTCTGTCAAACGATGCAGACTTCTGAGCTATAGTCATATGTATATATACCAGCTAACAACTAGGATTGCTCTAACGATAAAACTACTAAACTCCAAAACAGTTAAACACGCTTTTCCTTTTTGCAGTAAAATCTGCAATGTTCCAAATAAAATGGCTGAAAATTAAAGACATGCATGAAAAACCAAAGCCCACCAGCAAGTGCTTAGTAACTTTTATTTAGAGAGGCGCTATATAAAAGATAATATCCTCTTCAAACATTTTGCTCTCACTCTCATACTGACGCAATAAAACACGGAGAAAAAACACTTAAACGATAAATGAGCCGCACTTGTATAGCGCCTCTCAGAGTAAGGACTCCAAAGTGCTTTACACTACAGTGTATCATTCATCCATTCACACACTGGTGGGGATGAGCTACGAGGTAGCCACAGCTGCCCTGGGGCACACTGACAGAGGCGAGGCTGCCGAGCACAGGCGCTACCAGTCCCTCCGACCACCACCAGCAGGCTTAAGGGTCTTGCCCAAGGACACAACAGCAGAATTCTCTGTCTGGACCCAGAATCGTACCTGCAACCTTCTGATTACTGGACAACCCACTCAACCTGTTGAGCTACTGCTGCATGCTGATTCTGGCTGCTGACTTTGCCCCCTAGCCAATCAGCAGCCAGAATCAGGATGCCGGTCTGACACAGCCTTGCCAGGTACCTCAACAGAGTGGAGACTAAAAATAAGGAATAAAGTCGAGGGGAAATACCCAACCGTGCCCTTGGAAACAGCGGTCTGGCCGAGCTGCACTGAGTACTTGTCTGAGTAGTGCTCCTGGAATACCACCTTTAGAGGAGTCATGTAGGCTCCAAACCTTCAGCTCCATCCATTAGTGTCTGTAAGAAGGTGCGAGATCTCGGCAATGCATTATCAGTTAAAACGGTACAGTCATCAGACGGAAGCACACGAAACGAAGGAAACCCATGGTGCAAAAGAGGTCACAGACAAGAGTCTTAAACAAATGCAACATCACCAAGTGAACAGTGATGTCACATGAAATTCTAATAAAATAATAATAGAAAAGTTAAACAAAAACTAAATGATGACCGTGAAAGACTCCCTAACACATGTGACAGGTGCTTTACTCCAAACAGGAACACAACTTCATTAGTGATGGTTCTTTACAGGAACAAGAAATAAGAAAATTCAAAGCTAAACAAGAAGAATAAGATAGTCATAACACTTCAAAACGAACAAGAAATGTAGATTATGAAGAAGACGAGTTGGACACAAATATAGGATTAAATTTAAAACCGATTTTTAGATTGTCCCCTTTTTAAATTTCATATTCCATCAACGCTCAGCTGCACAAAACCAGCTATTGGGTCAGCGTTATTAAGTATAATTTAATATGAGCTTTTGTTTGGGGTGGACCCCTATCATCAACATGCTGGTCTTTAATTATGAATATGTTAAAATAGCCTTAAAGTACCGTACAGCTGCTAACAAAATACAGATGTAAAAGGAAACACTTTATTGATGTGACTATACATTTGAACAGCTTGTACTCTGGTCACACATGGCAATCACGCTAATATTAGTTTTAAATGACATGCGTGATGTTTTTTCTTTGGTCTGTAATATGAGAGCTAAATGTGTATTTGTGATAATTGGTTTATCACCAAAAATTATTACCTATTACCTAGATCTTAAAAAGCAGCTCAGATGATGAAACTGCAACTATGATTCTGATAACAAGCTAACACATTGAACTAGCTCCTCTAAGATAAGCGGCTAGCAGAGCTTCTGACTGACAGTTTATGTGCAGCAGCAAATCAACTATCCTGATTAACAAGGTTATAAAAGCTCATAAATGAAAAATCACTTTGATGTGTGGGGGAACTTTTCCAGGCCCTCTTTAGCAGGGTGGGACTGGGAGGAGAGAGCTGTAGCCTTTTAGCTGGAAGCTAACCGGAGCCAGAAACCTCAGCACAAAGTGCGTTCGTTAAGCCAGCATGACGAACAAGGGAAGCGAGCGGCAGCAGAAAGCGGGGGCGGGGCGGAGATAGTGGAATTTTGGGGATACAGTCTGTGCTGGAGCGGGTGAACCAGGCGGCGGCACGGCGGCCCAAAGTAAGCGCAGCCTGGGAAGCTCCGCTCGGCAGCACCGTCTTCGATGCTCCGGTGTCGGCGCGCGGAGGAAGTGGTGGTGCCGAAAACAAGAGCGGTGGCTGGCAAACATCTCAACCTTCGCATGGAGACAGCCGAGCAGCGCGGGGCAGCTCGTAGGGGGCGGGCATATTACGCGAACGGACCCATCTCATTGGCCGCATATCAGAAGGGCTACATTTGATTGGTCAAATAATACTTCCGCGTTAAAAACAGAGCTGGTTTGCAAAAAACTGATGTATGACACGGATGGAAATGTTTGAACCAAACATTTATCGCCGTTTTTGACGTGCTTTGCGATGGGCCTATCGCACGTCCTATTATCGCGATGACGATAATTTTTCGATATATTGTGCAGCCCTAAATTGTAGACTTCCAGACGCTTGAAAGCCTTTCATTGTCATGAGTGAAGGGTCCAGGACTTTCTGTTCAGTAAGAGTAAATATCGCCCCAGCAGATTTGTGACGGAAACACCGGCGAACGAGACCGGCGTTTTCCTTCATCCAAGAGCTCATAGCTTTACTTTTGTCTTCAGTACACATTTAATGCTTCTCTCTGAAGCTCCTCGTGTATTTGGACTGTGACGTGTTTATACATCGGGGATTTTGTCCGTAGACTCTCCTAAAAAGTGTATGTCGCGTATTTATGGCAGGCCACTCATTTTTGTGCCACCCAGCCACTCGTGCGTGCACGAAAAGATGTCAACATAACTCCTTTTTTATGCTTTTTTCCCCTCAGTTTCAAAAGAGGGAACCTTTGTACAAAGTACCCTGCTATCAGCATACGAAAGCATGTTGTAAAAATAAAAAGTGAAAATCCCCCCCCCCCCCCCCCTGCTTTTTTCACTAATGGCTCACTGGTTATAACTTCCAGTACCCTCTCCAAACCTCCTCCGATTCAGCTCCTCTGGGTCACAGCACACAAGCCACTGCAGACACACAAGCACGAACACATGCACACCCACCCCTCTGGGTTCATCACTTAGTTGTTGTTCTGCTATTTGCTTTCCTTTGCAGATGGTGAAGCTCCTGCGACAAAAGCAGTTGGAGATTCAAAACTTTAGCGTCTACTGGGATACTGAATGTGAGATGCTGGGAAAGCTGCCTGCAAGTCAGATTCAGGTCAGTAACACATGGTTAGTAGACCTCCTTGACTGGAAACATCACACATAGTAATAAGGAATGCAAGGGACTCTTCCCTTTCACAGTAAGTTGTGTTTCAAACTCGAAGAAAACTATGATTCAGCACTTTATGACTGAAGATTTATGAACACCTTCTTAACTTCAGGGTTCATTTCAAGATCCTGGTTCTGGTCTATAGGGCCTTACATGGACAAGCACCATCATACATTGGTGATCTTCTTAGTCCCTACACCCCCAGCAGGTCCCTGAGGTCCAGTGATCAAAGCCTACTGGTTGTGCAGCACCAGGCTAAAGGTCAAAGGTGACAGATCATCTGCTGCTGTGGCCCCCAGACTCTGGACCTCTCTCCCCCTGAGCCTGTGATCAGTGGACTCCTTTAAAGGTGTAAAGCACTGAAAAGACATTTTAATGATTATTTCTTATTATGATTGAGAGTATCTGATAATAATTGGGCAGTAGAGGGCGATATCGTTCTCTGTCTACAGATAAAGGGAAGCAACGCCACAAACATCGGTAGCTCTGACGAAGGTGGCAGTCGAAGCCGAAACATGTCCGCTATGGTAAAAACAAGCTCCTCTCACTGTGTTTGATGTAGAACCAAAGTAAATGGAGTCTCTCTGAGTGTTTCATGCAGACTGAACATGAAAATAGTCTCCTACACCTATCTCCTGCATTAGCGTCTGATAGAAAACAGACGGTGAAACTCTAGGATTAGAAAAACCTGACAGATCTACGTCACACTCACTAACATTCATGGACTCACCCATCTTGAGTTGTGACGGGGAAGGCTGTTGTTGTTTAACATCCAGGAAATGGCAGAGAACGTAAACGCAGTCCAGTAGAAGCTAACTGCTAGCAGTGGCAACTCTACAACACGCCAGAACTCCAGTAGGCTTGTGATGTTTGTAGAAATAAAACATCTACATTGCAAGTCAGTGGTAGGGTTGCGTTGCTGTTACGTATCCAATCCAAGGACAGATGTCCAAATATCAGCAGATAAGAATCCAGATCCTGCCGTCTGAAGCTCAGTTGTGATGCATTACATGTTTAACTGACACATTATCTGTTAAATTGCTGTTATTCATTTGCAGCTTGGTTGTACAGAGCGTATTCCTCCAGGATCATTCACGCAAACACATAATTTAGCGCACGTATGTATTTCAGTACATTTTTCTGTACATACACATTAGTTTAGTTTGTTTGATTGTGATGTACATAGAGCTGTGTTGTGTGTTCTTCTATATTCCTTTAGCTATAAGAGCTGTTCTCATTTGTGGGATAATAAGGTTTTTTCTATAGGGTTAGGGTTAGGTCTTACCATAGTTGGAAATGGTGCACCAGTATGTTGTTTCCCCCTGAGAACAACTTGTCTCCCACTGGAGACCACTACAACAGTATTGATTAAATAAGTTGATGGTTGCTTTGTGTTGCCAGTTACTCGAACTAATTTTCTTCATACTGTAGGTCAGTATTGTATAGAGCAATGGTGGAATGGAATGGTTTACCACGATTCTTGAGGGATCAGTTACAAAGGAGTGATTTCTGTAAGAGGTTGCGGATATTTATTTATACCCTTTTTACATGAGTTTGAGGAAGATGAGTTTTATGTTTTATTTATTTTGTGTTATCTTGTCCAGTGTGTGTGGAGGAATTTTTGTTTTATGTTACTGAATTATATTTTGTTGCTGTATTGGGTGGATTGTGGTGTATTCTTACAGTGGAGATGTATACTGTAAATGGAAATGGTTTGTTTGCTTGTGAGCCGTGTTGATGCATTAATGTATTTTTTTGGTGAGGTCATGACCCCAGGAAGAATGGGGGCAGCAGTAGCTCAAAAGGTTGAGCAGGTTGTCCAGTAATCGGAAGGTTGCAGGTTCGATCCCGGCTCCGGACAGAGAATTCTGCTGTTGTGTCCTTGGGCAAGACGCTCAACCCACCTTGTCTGCTGGTGGTGGTCGGACGGACCGGTGGCGCCTGTGCTCGGCAGCCTCGTCTCTGTCAGTGCGCCCCAGGGCAGCTGTGGCTACATTGTAGCTCATCCCCATCAGTGTATGAATGTGTGTGTGAATGGATGAATGATACACTGTAGTGTAAAGTGCTTTGGAGTCCTTACTCTGAGAGGCGCTATACAAGTGCGGCTCATTCATTAATTCATTCAATAGCAATTGTTTTAACAGTGGCTAGTGGGGATCTCAATAAACAAACAAACAAACAAACCTAAAAAGGCAGCTGAAAACTGGTGTGACCTTCCGTTGATCCTTCCTCACATGCTGCTTTTTCCATCAGTTCAGTCTTCTTCATGTTGTTATTTCTACTCTTAACATCGTAACGCCGCTCCCCACGGGGGTGGGTCAAATGTGGAAATGAATTTTTCCAGTGTGTGATGATGACTAATGTGACTTTAACTTGGGCCCTAGGCCTTTTTTTCTTTGGGCCCTGGTGCCTCCCAATCGGGGGCCTTTGGAGTTTCATGTCCCAAGTGTCAGTGATTGTTTGCATTCCCCAAGCACAGCTACAGCTACAATCAAAACAGTTTACGTAGATTGTAAACACAGCAATTTTTTGGGATTTTGATACGTTAAGATGAAATAATACTTGAACTTTACTTTAGAAGAGCAGCCCTGTGTGAAAGTGCTGACAGGATGGAGGTTTTGAGTTTAGGAAATTTAGTCAATTGTTTTGTTTGTTCCTGGGGTCCTCGGCTAAATTTGTTCAAGGTTTTTTTTCCCAGCAGACACCAGTGAAGGCCAGATGCTCTTCTAAAATAAAGTTCAAATATCATTGTTTCTTAATTTATTACAATTTAAAATGGCCTTGTTTCCCACCTGGGCTGTTTGATTGTGGTTTTAGTTGTGTTTGGAGAATGTGGACAGTTGTAGATGTTTGGGACCTGAAACTGTACCGGCCCCCAACTGGGGGGGTGTTAGGGTTAAACAGGTTCACTTTAAATGTTCCTCCTGTTTTCTTGTGAAGATCTGTTTAATTAAATTATTTGTTCTTTTTCATAATCAATTTTATTGATTTTTTGTTTAATACAAGATGAGACATCCACCTTTTGTGCCAGAGCCTGAATCTCAGCCAAAGTTCAAAGCTTTTGACTCATCTCGACAATTATATGAGTTTGTTCGTTCACAACAATGCATCCCATCCCTGAGCTCCGGGATCGAGCCACTATTCCTCGACAGCTCATAAATTTTCCGGTAAGCCAGGTAACCGCTCAGGCCAAACAGCAGGAACCCCGACACCAAAACGACGAATATCCAAACATCTTCAGAATCCTCTACAGACAGCTGAGAGAGGCAGATCAGGTTCCACTGTTTCCAGGAGTCCATGATATACCCAGCTGCCTCTGTCCCAGAGGGGCATCCAGAAGCCCCTTCTCCCGTTCTCATCGTTGAAAAAATGTTGTCACTCGCGTTGAGACCACCTGACCAGATCCATTTTTAATAATTTCCAGTTTCCAGAAAAAATGCAGAAATGCCATGCACAGACAGGACAAAGAGCCTTGGGATAAGAAGGGAGGGAGAGGAGTCTGTACTCTCCAAGAGCCGGAAGAAGAAGCTCGGTCTCTATTTTTTTTCTCTTTCCAGATAAATTTTGAGAGATCCCGTTCCATTTCCTTTGCTAACACTTTAGAAATGTAAATAGGTAGCATCTGCATAGGATACAGAAGGCGAGGTAAGATATTCATTTTAATAAGGTTTACTCTACCCACCCATGAGACCGGCAGATCCATCCACCTGACAAGAACTTTTTTAATATTCCTATAAACTACATCTATATTTTTCTTCAAGATACTCTTAATATTAGGGGTGAGGCAAATCCCAAGATACACGAATCCCTAGGTAGACCATGCAAAAGGGAATCCATCAGGCCTTCCAGATCTCCCCCAGTCACCCACCGGCATGGCAATAGATTTTCCGAAGTTGACCTTATACCCAGAAAGGGAACCAAAAATCTTGATGACCGACATAATGGCTGGTATTGATTCATCAGGATTTTTAACAAACAGCAGCACATCATCTGCATACAAGACAATTTTGTATTTAATAGTTCCTATTTTATATCCTGTTGTATTTTTGAGAGTTCTAATGGCCTCCGCCAATGGCTCAATCACCAGAGCAAACACAAGAGGAGGTAACAGATCACCCTGACGAGTTGATCTACCCAAGCAAAATTCTTGTGACTTAATGCCATTTACATGCACACTTGCCCTTGGAGCATGATACAGTAATTTGGTTGAATTAATAAAACTTTCTCCGAGCTGGAACTTGAGCAATACTGAGAACATGAACGGCAACTGTACATGATCGAAGGCCTTCTCTGCATCGAGGGAGATAAGGCCTTGGGTTTTGGTTAAACTGGAATGCTGGATTACATTCAGCAGCCTCCTCATGTTAGTAAAGGACGGTCTGTTCCTGAGAAAACCGGTCTGGTCCTCCCTGATCAAAAATAGTAGGTGTTGTTCCAGTCTCTTCGCTAAAATTTTAGAAAAAATCTTGCTGTGCACATTAAGGCGATAGGAGCTACATTTATCAGGTGGCTTATCTTTTTGATGTATTAGGGAGATGTTTGCCAAATATAGGGAGCAAGGGAGAGAGCCGATTTCAGTTGAGTGCCTATACATATTTGAAAGGGGATGGATCGGAGCTGGACAGGAGATTAAGTCCAGAGACCTGGTGGACCACTTTGTGAAGTGTTGGCAACAATCATCATCTTTAGAAGAAGCAAGAATACGACCAACACTTTGTCCATCATGGGAGAAGAAGTGAAGGAATCTAAATACCTGGTGTTTATAAGAATTAACAGAGCAGACTGGACTTCTGGAGGATGCTGAGACTCTTCAGGGTTTACAGCAAAAGGTTACAAATGTTCCATCAGTCTGTTGTGGAGAATGTGATCACATCCACATTCCAGAGGGTGATGTGAGTCGAAGAGGAGGCACTGGTCCGTGTGTGTGGGCTTCCGGTACACTTCAATGTTGAGGTTGCCATTTTCTTCAAAGTGCACAGCGCAGTCCAGGAAAGGCAAGCAGTTGTCCTTTATGTTTTTCCATGGAACACAAACTTAGAGTAATCAAGACCTTACACCACCGGGCAGAACATGGTCCCTCTAAGCTGGAAGGGAAAAAGAAGGAACACACACATATAAAGGAATCACTTAAAACATGTGGCTATCCTAATTGGGCGTTTATAAAGTCAGCAAAGATGCACAGAAAAGAAGACCAGACACCAGAGAGGGAGGATAAGAAAGACAGACGCAACAACCTTGTCATCCCCTATGTAGCCGGTGTATCAGAGAAACTCAGGAGGGTTTTCTCCAAACACAACATACCAGTGTACTTCAGGCCCAGCAACACACTCAGACAGAACCTGGTTCACCCGAAAGACAAAACTCCTAAACACAAACTGAACAATGTGGTGTATGCTGTACAGTGCAGCGAGGAATGCCCAGACCTCTACATCGGAGAAACCAAACAGCCACTTCACAAGCGCATGGCACAACATAGAAGAGCCACCTCCACGGGACAGGACTCAGCAGTCCATTTGCATCTAAAGGACAAAGGTCACTCTTTCGAGGATGCCAACGTTCACATTTTGGACAGATGGTTTGAAAGAGGAGTAAAGGAAGCCATTTATGTCCACTGTGAGCAACCATCTTTGAACAGAGGCGGTGGTCTACGACACCAACTGTCTGCCATCTATAATCCAGTTTTGAGATCCCTTCCCAGATGCCTCAACGCCCACGCATATCCTGGGCCATCTGACCTCAGGAATTCACATGATAGGGTGGGGCCAGGCTTCACAATGAGCTCACCCGAAACTCTGGCTGAATAGGACCCACACCCACCCTCACACCTTGGCTCATGTATTTATGTAGAAGATCATCAGGGGGTCTTTTGTTCCCTCTTCGGGGGGAAACTCCCACTGGGTTTAAATCTGGGACTCTCCACCACTTGACCTTAGAACTGATGAAGCCTCTCGGATGAGAGGTGAAACGTCTTCAAGCAACTCAAAGAATTCCAGACGCTTTTCTTTCAAAGCTCCTTAGATTACAATGACCTGGATGACTGAGAACCTTCACAGACAAAACGTAACAGCTTATCCCAACGCAAGAAGCTGTTAGCGAGAATGCTAACAGTAGCTTTACCAACATTAAGTTCAAGTTACCAAGTTTAGATAAACTAAAAACACCCAGCAGCAAACAGACCAGCACGGAGGAGAGACTGCTACCACCAAAACAGCTCTCCTGATGTCTGAACGAAGCTCCTTTATGAAGGGAGAAACGCTCCCGGTGATTTTCTACATCTCCGGTAGAGACGGAGCAGAGCATCTGACCCCGGAAGTTGTTGTCCGTTGCCGGGAGACGAAGGCGGGCAAAACAGGAAAGGAATCTAGTAGCGGACGGACATTGTTCCGGGTCTTCGGTATTTGGTGGAGATGTTAGTGAAGGCGGAGAAGAGGGCGAACTAGAGGTAGAACAGGCAGATTCCTCCTCTATTTACAAACTCCTGGGGATGCAACAAGTGGGCGTGGTGCGTCGACTACCGGATCTGACGTCAGCGAATTTTTAGAATCGAGCTGTCGACGTCATCGACGCTTCGCTACAGCTCTAATGATCGGACAAAATCACCTCTCTCAATCGGATTACAATTTCATTCCGATTGGGCCGAGTTGGATCAGAATATTCCGATTGACATGTTTACATGTAGAAGTTTTGATCTGATTGGGCGTTCAGATTAAATGTGTTCATGTAAACATGGCTATTGTTTCATTTGAAGTGCTTTACAAATAAACTTGATTTGCTATCCTTGCTCTGAAAGGTTTAAAATGGCCTGAAACAGACCAGTAAGGTGCTCGTTCATGCTGATCCACAGGTAAAAGTGCTGTACAACACTTTCATGCTAACTTGTATTGGCGGGGTCTCTGAATGCAGGATGCAATGATGCAGTGTATGCAGAGTCGTGAGCATCAGTACATCTTTGAACCGGTGTGTGCCTCTGTGCTGCTTAAAAGAAACACTTCCAAGGAGCCTCTGAGGTCCCGACAAACCCCCCGGATTGAAGGCCAGGTCCAGCTGGAGCCGGTGGCTTTACGCCTGTCCCAGGTTGGTTAGCTGTTCCTGTTCACTAAACCAGTTCACTAAACCAGTTCACTAAACCAGTTCAGTCACATGTCACTTTTTAAATACACACACACACACACACACACCCACGCACGCGCGCGCGCACACACACACAAACACACACACGCATGCGCACGCACGCACACACACACACACACACACACACACACACACACACACACGCATGCGCACGCACGCACACACACACACACACACACACACACACACACACACACAGGACCAACCTGGTTCATGTCGAGCAGTGCCATTGGAAAAGGCCCATTAGGTTCTTCTGTGGGGTTGCTCTTAGGTCCAGTACCAGCAGATGATGTCGTTCCTAAAAGAACTGGATCGGAGGGAGAGAGGGATGTTGTACAGGAAGTGGAGACCTAAAGTGTCCATCTCTGGCAAGTAAGTAAATGCAGCTGCGGCAACAGCTTTTGTTGTAAGCTGGTTTGACAATCCCTTTAATTTCTGTAATGTTGGGGTAGAACCGTTTAATGTACCGTCACTGGTAATGAAACCCGTTTACCATTAGCTGTAGGATGTGGTGGAGTTTTGCAATTCAGGCCAACCTGAATGACATCAGGGAGCAGCGGCGGCGAGGGAGCTGGAGTTTTGCTTTGCAGAGGGCTCAAGATGCTCAGACCTACACCAGGATCTACTTCAAAAGGTTGAAAGGAGTTCCTCTGAGTCCTCAGGAGAAGGTACTGCCCCATCACACACACGCACGCACGCACACACACACACACACACACACACGCACGCACGCACGCACGCACGCACGCACACACACACACACACACACACACACACACACACACACACACACACACACACACACACCTCTATCAACATTGTGTTGTTTAACTGTGTGTGGGAAAACAACGTTAGGAAAAAATCAGTTTAATCAAATTAAGATAAAATGGTTCTAGTATTTCATATTTCCTAGTTCCTACTGCATGAGTTCAGATGTATTAATCCATGCACTTAAATATTAATGTTCTGGTTTTATTGAAAAACTGGTTCTGTAATAGTTCCTTTACTATTGTGATCAAACATAATTAATCTCAGTTCTGAGGCTGCTCTGTAAATAGTTTTCTAATAAACAATACACATAGCAACTTCTGATGAATCCATATCAATTTCAGATTTAAAATAATGAACTGATGTAAACCACACCCACTAATGTCCAAATAATAAATAAGAGGTGCATTCATCTGTGTATCTCCTCTGATCCACATTAGTGATATTTTCAGCACCAGAACAGTGAAGCAAAGAAACAGATTCCTGAGTTTATGTCAGTAATTTTATTTATCAGGTGCATCTGACCTGTTCTATTTTTCTCTGAAATGAGATCAGACCAGTGCTTCTATGGGTCGTCTCCTCTCTGCACTAGAAACATGTACTTTATTATAATGTTCACCGTAATGCATCTTGATGTTCTTAACAATACATTAAATCAAAGATATTGGTCAGTAATGCCAAATATGTAAATTTGTGTTTCAGTCATTTTTATACTGGCTTAAAAATACTTCATTAAGTCTGCTAAGCAGGGGTGTAGAAGGTGTTTAACAGGGCCAGCCCACTAATGGTCTTGGACCAAAACACAGGGGGCAGAAAGTCTCTCCATAGCAGCTTCAGACCCATCTCTAAACTTCCGTTCATCTCCAAGATCTTGGAAAAGGTTGTGGCTAAACAACTCACAGCTGCTCTTGATGAACATAACATCTATGATAGCTTCCAGTCAGGTTTTCGTAGAGCTCATTCTACTGAAACAGCTCTTCTTAGGGTCTCTAATGACCTTCTGACCCACAGTGATGCAGGGGACTGTTCTGTTCTGGTCCTGCTGGACCTGACTGCAGCCTTTGTCACTGTTGACCATCACCTGCTACTGGAGAGGCTGAGAGACTGGGTAGGCCTATCAGGATCTGCTCTGGAGTGGTTCTCCTCTTATCTCTCTGAGCGCTCCTTCTCTGTGGCCGTCTCCAAGTATCGCTCCTTCTCCACCTCCCTTGTAAAATGTTCTTAATTTAAATGAAAAAATTAAAATAAATGTAATTGTTTTTATTTGACTGACTGAGGGACTCTTCAGATTGTTTGGATTAAATATTAATTTAAAATGAATGAAATTTTAATTTGTATTTATTATTTTACAAAAATGACACGATTGTGACAGATGTACTACCTGATGTGTGTCAGAACTATCTAGCGTGACCTCTGTTTCAGACACTCCCTCTCCTGCTTGTTGTTTAGAGCCAGTTGGAACGAGTTGAAGAGGAGCAGACGTTAGAAGAACTGCACGGCCTCAGAGACGTTGTCTATGACTGGATTCAAAAGCAGGAACAACTCCCAGAGGTGTGTTTTGATGCTATTTTTCACCGTTTTTTAAGTCAGATGAATTCAGCACACGCAAAGTTAGCAGAAATCCTTTTCCTCAGCCTTCTCATTCGTGTAAAGCTGAACACATACATGTCAGCAGCAGGATGAGTAAGGAAAGGGAAGTAAACACGGACAGTTTGGCTTTTGTAAACAGAATCAGCTGAGTCTGCAACCTGAAGAGTTTCTGGCCTTTAGCTTTAAAGCTCAGATCACCCTCTGGAGCAGCTTGTGAAGAAGCATGAGGAGCGTTACTTCAGTCGGGATAACAAGTTACGTTGAAGTTTAAAGGAAGTCGTGATGGCATGGAGACGACCCCACACACTTTTTATAGCTCCATCAAATAATCTGTGGTGAAAAACACGATAGTGCCACATTATCTGGGTGACAACAACTGGGTTTAACCACATGTACAACAAAGAAGAGTGGAATAACAATGGCTTGGCTTGGAATGACCCGGTTCCTCTACATCAGTGTAGTTTTCTCCACCAGCTGGCCACGGTGCAGACATCTTTCTTTAGAACAACGGCTTTAGCTTCTACTTGTTGTGGTTTTAAAGACGTGTCCAAGTCATTTAGACCAGAGGAAGAGCCGCGGCGAACTCTGCTTCAGATGCCATCTTCGTTGTTTACTAGACACTGAGCGCTACGCTGTGCAGCGCTGATTTCCTCGTTACCCCAAAACTCCACTACCTCCGCTCCGCTCCGGCACGAACTCCGCAGCAAAAACGGTCCCGTTGTAGTCAGTCAGAGCTGTTCCACTACTCCGGCAGTGCGGCGCCGTGGGATACACGCCGTTCCGCCATCCGGCAAAAATGGGATCGATTCTATTTTCGCCGGACGCCGGAGCACCTCCGCGGTCAATGGACAGGAATCACAACGGCCCAACAGGAAAAGGAGCAAGCACAACTTCCGTTTTTCACAATAAATCGATAAACAAAAGGCGTTTTTTGTTTCATATGCACAGGTTTAACAACTTTTAACAACTATCAATGGCGGCTGAAGTTTAAATGCACAAAAGTAAGCCATAAATACAGTTTCTACTATCAAAGTAGTCACCCTTTGTTGATCCAAACACTGCTGATCTCTCAACACAAATGATGGGCAGATTAAACAGTTCATGCCGATGCTTCTCCCACACAACGGTGTTTGGATCTAACTTCCGATTTTACTGCTCGGACTGTATCGCAAGATCTCGAAAATCCCGCGCATGCTTGTTTGCCCCCCTCAGGTCTCCGCTCCGGAGCGGAGCCGTTGTAGAGCGGGTACCAGTAAAAATTGAGTTCGGAAGCGAGCGGCTGCAGAAGGCGGGGGCGGAGCGGAGCGGAGGTAGTGGAATTTGGGGGTTGGACTTCTCAGAGGGTGGGTTGTTTGAATAGAAGAGTTCCCAGACCCCATGGGGCTGGCTGGTCAGGCTACCTGCATCATTTTGTTTCAACAACTGTAACACTTTCTGCAAATCCTGTAAACTTCATTTCACCTCTCAGACATCACTGTGTGTGTCTCCTAGATCTTTAACTGAAACATGTTAGAACAACCAACGATTTGTAACGGATAATCATGATGAATGTGCTCAGAGTGCGAGGCTGCTGAAACGTTTCTGTCCCACTGTACGGTTCACCAATGTTCTCCATTTGAACCTCTTTTTTTTCTCTCATCACAGAACACCAGAGAGCCTAGCAGCGAGCTCCAACCTGTTCCAACCAGCACATCCATTCCTAAAAGTGGGAGCTCAAGGATGATTCAGTACCTCCAGTCTTGGTTTCCTGGTTGGGGGGGCTGGTATGGAGATTCTGAGGATCCAGACAGACCTGAAGAACTGCTGCCAAGTCCATCATCATGGGATATCCTCGGTGAGGACCTCAGTAGTGTTACTTATTTTCTGTTAATTCAAAAGTCCTTTTGAACTGTAGGTGAATGTTCTTGCCTGGAACAGAAATCTTTGAAGTGCCTTGAGATGGGTGCTATAAAATAGCTACGGGTTTGTTTGTTTGTCCAGCAGAGACAGAAGACTTGTTTGACCCTATGGAAGACTCTCACACTCTGAGCACATTCACCAGACGAGATCACATGTTTGCACGCTTGGAGTTCTTTCTGCACAAGGGTGAAGTCACTCTCCGTCATCAGGGCAAGACGGCGCATACACTACACGAGAGTGCACTCATCCAGCTGGAGTTCTCAGGTACTCTTATGGATCTGTTGCTGGCTTTCACAGTAGATACCATAGTATACCACCTAGCAGCTACAGTAACAGGGTCATACTGAGTCCTGTACACAAAAACCAACAATAAGAGATGTACCTCTTCAAACTAAATTAAAAACAAGACAAAATCTAAAACGAGTCCCTCTGCAATACAAGCCAGGCATTAAAGTGTTGTAAGTGCTTTTAGGGTCTGGGATAATATCTTTCAAGCCTCTGGAGCTCCATCCTCTGCTCTGTACTCCTCATGAACATCCAGATCTCGGTCTTTCTTCACGCTAACACTATATCCACCGAGGCTCTCACAGGTCCTTCTCCTATGAGACATCCAAAGCCATGAAATCCTTCTGCTCCACCTGCTGCAAAACCTCCAGAAACTCTGGCTGGACAGCTGATCACCTTGTGCCAGCCCGCCCGGCTAGGTCGGCTAGCTCAGTCGTCAGTTGGAAAACGCCACCATTAACTCTGGTCTACTCAACATCTGTTCGCTTACTCACAAGGGGGATGTCGTCGGATATTTCATCAGTGACTTAAGTTTTTTTATTCTGAAGGAAACGTGGCAGCAGCCCAAGGACTTCTCCCAGTCAAACCACACGGTTCCCACTGGCTTTGTGTGCATCTGCCATCCCAGTAGTAATGGCCGGCAGGAGGTTGCGTTCACGGCCTGTCCCTGTGCCAGATTACAGCCTGGTCCTACTTCTACGATTATTGCTTCAGTTTATCACCCTCGTAAGCCTAACGCTGGCTTTATAAACGATCTCTCCACTTTACTCACCCATCTCACCCGCCTTTCACAGAATGATGTTCTGCTAGAGGACTTCAGTGGACGTATCAGTAATAATTACCAATCACCAAAGATTTAATGTCCTGCTTGGAGAGTTTTGGCTTTCCAACACACATGAAGGGCCGTACTCTGGACCGATTCTGCTACTCTGGTATTGGACTACTCATCTGCTTTGCTGAAGAAATCCAGTTTATGGACACTTTTCTACTCTCATTCAAATCCACCCTCTGTGTATGTCTGCAGTTAATCCTTTACGTCTCATCTCACTCCGGAACATCAAATCCATTTATATGAATGCTCTTTGCACCAGAATCATCCAGATGCTAGTCCTAGATCACTTCTCCAGCCCTGATGAACTTATTGCTGCCTACAACAGCATCCCAAGTCTCATTCTGGACTCTTGCTCTCCTGTGAAAACCAGGCTCATTTCCCTCTCAAGTGCTCTGTGGTACACCTCTGGGCTGCGTGCATTAAAATCTAAAAGTTGTCAACTTGAGCGTCTCTATACAAGAACTGGTTTCAGCATACACAAAGAACTGCACTTAACTAATCTATAGCAATACACAGCACTGTGAGATTTTAGACTCCCAAAGCTGCGAAAAGGGAAATTCTGATCAATGTCTCGCCCTTCTGCAGAGCTGGCAGAAAAAAGTTGCAATACTCCCGATTTATCATCTCTGAGGTCATCACGCGGATAAATACGCTCCAGCTGAGTCAGAGTAGGTTAGTGACTGAAGGGACAGTCCAGAGAACATGGGTTGTTTGTGTTGTTAACTTTTAACTTACAGGCCGAACTTCTTCATACAGGTCTGTCTGACACCGTGGTGCTGATACGAGGTCTGTGAACTTGAGCCAATATTCTTAACTAACCCTGCGGACGTACGAGTCCTCGAGGCTGCCTCCCTGGCTCATATAATGACTTTAAAACGTTATATAAATAAATAACAATATGTTCCAAATCAAGTGTTTTAATAACGTGTCCTATACTTTACATCAATGAATGATGGGTTAAAATGAACATTTTCCTGTCATGATTCATTTAAGATCTTAAATTACACCAGATTAGTATTTGTTGACTTTAAGAATTTAATCTATCAGTATATCAACGCCTCATAGTATTATTATTAATGTTTAACGTTTTTACTTCACAGTAAGAAATAACCTCTAGGAATCTGAGTGAAAGAGTGATTGCCTGAGGTGTTTTGGTACCGCCTTTAAGCGTGTCAAATTCTGATTGGTCTAACTTTTCAACAGTAGTTCATAAAGGCTAGGTCACTTCCTGAACCAGCCAGTTCTCCGCCGCTTCCCAGTTCAGCCGACCGGGTGAGGAATGCACTTGGGACCATCCTCTCTTTTGACCCCAAGGTCAAAGCCTCTCTGCAACACTTGCGAGTGGTATCACATGCAAAATAGATACGCTAGCTTCCTGCCGTCATCTGGAAGGTATCTCAGAGCAGACGAGTCATACTCTGAGCTGAACTATTGGTTCAGATACCCAGGAGTCCATGCCAACGGCAGATTGTCCTTACCGACCTCTCGATCCCTTGGATCGCACGAGGGCCTTCAACACAACGGGTTCCTCGAGCCGCACAATGGTGTCGGATGGGTAATAATAATAATAATAATAATAATAATAATCTCTAACTTATTAAACCACACAGTCGGACTGATTTTACAACCCAGACATCACAAGACCTCTCAGATCCTTAACAAGGTGCTAGCTTACATCCCGTCATTTCTTTCATTTCTGTTATCTTGTACAGCCACCATTTCCTTCATACTTTGTTGTGTACAATCATTAGTTTACAGATAGAATTAAATTCATTTTTATAAACTAAATCCTTGTCTCTGTCTGAGTTAATATGAAGTGTGTGTTCCCTGAATAGTCCAGAGAATGTAAGGTAATATTAAATCAAACATTCAAAGACCAATCTGATTGATAATTCATATTTATATGGAATATCACATCTTTCATTAGGGTTAGGGTTAGGGTTAGGGTTCATTTAACAGATATGTAGTGACATCCACCACGCCACACTGTCTACAAGTCCACACTGTTGCTGTTGATTGTGTTGTGAAGCGCCTCGGGGCTTGTAGAGCCCTAACCCTAACCCTAACCCTAAGAATGCCCAATGCAAACACAGGCCATTTACCATTTTACACACAACAAGCGGGTATTTAACTCATTCCCTGTCAGCCATTTCCTAGTCAGAAAAGTCCTTCGCTGCTGGCGATTTTCAGTGTTTTTCACAGGTTTTTTTAAGAGTGACAGAACGATGCGCGCTAGGATGATGTCGACGCCAAAACAACCAAAACAAAGCGGAGACTCACCTCTCACATCAGGAGGAATCCTCGTGTTTCCAGCGTTATCCGTTCTTTCATGATCCGTTGTTGAATTGTGATCGGCAGAAGCTTTTCCGGTTCACGCCTCTCTTCTTTTACAGCAGCGGTCCAAAACGATCTCCTAACACATGGATGTCCTGCTTCCTGAACGCTGCCAGCTACACACATCTTTTAATTTTTTTATTATCAAATTTATTGACATGGGAACAATTTTCTCGATAAGAGTCAGAAATTTTGATAACAATACATTTTCATTTTATTCCCCAGCCCTAGTACTGATGCAGAGACGTACTAGGCACTCATAGTAGTTTTATGTAGTAAAATTTCAGCCCCAGGATATTATTGTAGTGTATAACCAAAGTGTATTTCTGTTGTAATTTTTTACATTTTTATTTTCATACAGAAAATCTAAATCTAAGAAAACATAGTGATATGGACAAATATGGACATTGGCCCTGTTCTGGTAAAATTCCAAAATAAAAGTCACAAACAAGTTAAATAAACAGTATATTTGAACAGTATAGATATTATAAGACACTTTAGAATAATTTAGCTAATTTTAGAACATCACTGTTCAAAAATACAGAATTTATCACAATTATTAAACAATGTAGTATATTTTTTATAAAAACGGATTACTGTAGAACGTTTGAGAAGTTACTGAACAATAGATATGATTTCTGATCAAATATAGAACATTATAATAATTTAGATTATTTTATATTAGAGGATCTGCCTCAATGTCATCTTCCTCCTGTTGGTTGGTTGGCGCAATACCTGTCCTCCTCCATTTTACATAGAAATCTTAATTTAAAACTGCAAAATATATTCAATCTTGTAATTGTTATTATTACTGAATTTTAAGATTAAAAACAACATATTGTACCTAAAATATTCACAATTTCTTGTATGTGCAAGTATGGCAGATTTGATTTTCGTGCTAAGATTTCACCAACTTTATTGAGTTTTACATTTACAACACATGTATCTTTATTTAATACAACTAGTCAACCTTGTGGTGTGAGAGTTTCATAAATCTAGCGTTGTTAGTTTTAGGATCTGACCGTAAATACGGGAGGAGGCCGAAGGTTTTCTGGCTCTGCAGACACACCAACACTTGGCGTGTTCTAGCCAAATGAGCAAAAATGGCATTCAGTATAAGGGCTAGACAGTGATTTCAAAAAGTAAAAATCTAAAGAAAAACATGTCAAGAAACCATTGAACAATAACCAAAAGAAACAACAAAACGTCCATTACGTAGTAGTGTGTGGTTGTGTCAAACACATCTGTACCAGCTAGATATCAAGGTACCAGTCAGACGTTTGTTGAATTTCACCAGAGAAGTCAAGACTCAGAAAAACCGATCACGTAACCATAAAGTTTAGGTTTAGTAACCGAGGGAGGGCGTGGGGAGCTGCAGCCGGCAGCTATATTGAAAAAGAACGTAAACACGGGCTGTAAGTTTAGCTCTGTACACAGAATCAGCTGAGAGGGCAAACTGACATCTTTAGGAGTGGTTTGTCAAAAAAACCTAAAGATCGCAACTTCGATCGAAATAAAAGGCAAGTTATGTCCCAGATCAACGGAAATCCACAGCAGGGCAGAGGAGAGGTAACCTAAAGACAGGTGCCATAAGGCGTTACTTTCCTCAGTCGGGTGAACAAACACAATAAACAAATCCTGCTCATGGGTTACAAAAGGATGACTTCAAACCCCATCCCATAAAACTGGATTTGACAAGAGTTGTGTCCAGGGCAGACTTTGTTCTGCTCTGTTTATGTTCTCTTAAGATCTCCATAGTTTGCATAAAGAGGCAGAAAGTCCAAGTGTGGTCAAATTCAGTGCTTCTGGCTCTGATGACATCATTTATTCCATCTGATTACTTGACTTTGCGCATCCACAGGGGTAAAGATAATACTGGAGTCTCTTCCTCGCTCTGATTCCTCCCTTCTGTCGGTGAAGTTGGGTGGTTTGTTCCTGAAAGACTTGACTACTCAGGGCACCATCTTCCCATTCCTTGTGTCACCCAAAGGGGTAAGTGATGGGTTCGGCCGGGTCACCACTGCTACAGCTTTACAGTATGACTGATTGTAACTTGTCACCCATTACAGGATGATGTTGACTGTCTTTTTAACCCTTCTCTGAGCCAGTTCAGCTCTACCTCTGGTAACTGAAATGTTAATTACTTAGTTTAACTTACACTTCATATACAACATGTCTTCATGTAAAACGTGTGTGTGTGTGTGTGTGTTGGGTGGGGGTGCCAGGAGCTGGTGCTGCATGCACATCCCCGGTGTTTGAGATGATATACGAGCGGAACCCTGTGAGGTCCAAATTTGAGCGGAGGCTCGAGGTCAGCACCAGCCCACTGAACATCATCTACAACCCACAGGCCATGAAAAAGGTCACAGAGTTCTTCTATAAAGGAAGAATTCACACCTCAGGTAAAGTCCTCTGTAGAGTGTATCCAGTCCATCATGAAATGAGCTTACCATGATGTATTTTTCTGGGCAAGAAATGGCTGCTGCTAATGTTGTGTTAGCCTATCCATATAAGCAATAACAATCAGTCTAGTCAAATTTTATTCTACTGCCCTCCTGGGAGCCCAAGGCGCAGGACATAACATACCATAAAAGTAAATAACAGACAAATAACAGGACAGTAAAAAAAGATTAGAAAGGGTTCAAACTAAATTAAGTCACACAAAAGCCAACTGATAAAAGTGAGCCCTCAGGCAACTTTTAACACCTCCAGTGATGACGACTCCACAGAGTAGGGCAGGGATTCCCTAAAGCCGGGCGGACGCTGTGTGACTTTTTCACTCGCAGCGTTCAGCTTCAGCTCAAACTGTACGACTTCCTCGCAGAGCAGATCTCACGAGTCATGTGCTCACTGCACGTCTGGTAGCAACACGT